ATGCAGTAGGTGGCGAGCGATTCGGCATCGTGGCATATGCTGCTCGGTCCGTGGAGGCTGTGTAAGCAATGTTGTGGGGCAATATTGGTTGCTGGGCGACCTGATATGGACTGTAGCCATAGAGTGGTGGATTTGTTGGTGCACCGGTGTGCAACGATGGTGCCGGGTGATGTGTGTAGGGCGATGTTTGATCCCATGTGGAAGGCACGTTTGAGCCCAGTGGTGGCTGAGTATACAGATATTGAGACGGGGCGACTGATTGATGTTGTGCGTTATGGTCGGCTATCGCGGTAGGTGTGGCGTATGTCTGCGGAGATGACCATGTTGAGTATGCATCATTGTCGAAACTTGACCAGGAATGGCGATCTGATCCATGAGAGGGTGTTGGCAATAATGTATTGTACACGTGTGAACTGTGGGAGAGATAGTCGTCGTCATCAGGATAGCTTGACAAGCCTGCCGGTGTACCACAATCGGATGGAGAGCTTGGAGCATTGGGCAGGGTGATACCCTGATTCTGATATCTCCGCACGAGGACAGTGTATCTTGAGATCATCAAAAACAAGTCCCAAAGGCAGGAGTAAGTAACATACCGATTCTTGATATCATTCTTCGATCTGCCGGGGAAATGTTCGCGTTGAATATCTTTCCAGTGTCGTCCGAGTCTCTGAACTGCATCGATAAGTGCTGCGTCCTGAGAAGCGTCTGTTAGCTCACTGAAGTGTGAAATATGCTACAATGATGTTCACTGACATCTGAGTCGCGCCATTCACTTCGGTCTAGATCAGGATCAAGTGACTGCTGCCACCGCTTCGCGCACTCTAATTATCGATCAGCGACGAACACAGCTATCATCCATCAAACTTACGATCTGCACTGCGTGTTCCGACGCAGTTTGCAACTACCGTCCATCTAAGAATACAACAGTCAGCTTCTGTACTTTCTCCCAAAGTTTGATTCATTTAATCATACTTTTGGCCGTACTGCTGTACACCTCTTGAAAGCAACTGATCTTCACTCTTTGACCATTGTCCTTTCTTCAGGCCTCCTGCTACCGAATTGTGCCATCGTTTTCTACAGTCCTTGTTCGTTCGTCCGGGGAGGCTATCGGCAATTCTGCACCTAGGCATCTCATTAGTTGCGGAATCAACTGGCGTGATATTTGACCTACCAATCCTTGACTTCTCCTTCTACAACTGATGATATCCAGTTAGCTCAATTGAAGAAAGTTGGAGGATAACAAGTACAGCTTACGTTGTGCTTCCACTTCTTCCCGAAGTTTCTGGTCTTCCGCCAAAGACCATTTTCGAGGTTGGCGACTCGAATGGTCCATTAGAGCCAGGATATATTGGAACCTTGTCTTCTAGAGTATGCTTGTATAACCAGCAGGGAAACGTTCTGACAACGGAAAAAGAGTGCAGTGGAAAAGAGGGAAGATATCTAAAGGTGTCAAGAATTCCAAGAAACTTCCAAGGTTGTCTTGTATTGGTCAAGTAATAGTGGTAGAAGACGAGTAAAGAGTGCAAGACTATCAGATATGTAGACATCGTGAAGAGCCGACTACAAGCTTAAGCGGAAAGCTAGCATAATAGTTATCCGTCGTCTTGGCAAGCCAGGTACTTGGGTATAGCGGAGGTTAGACGGCAAGGGACAGTATGCCAAGCTGTATTGTTCGAGGTCGATGCTCGGTTTGGTTAGCGGGCGCGCTGACCTACAGCGTTTTCGAAACAACCAAGTAACGAACATGTTCCATGCATATCAACGGGGCTTCACAGCCATGACGCGTGCGCTTAGGGCTAATGCATCGTCTGACGGGCCGTTGACCAGGTGGTGTGTACAGCCCCCAAAGGATTCCCGCATGGCTAAGACCCTGTAGGTAAGGCTGCATGGACCATACACCGCTAACCCCCCAGGAACACTAGAACTTAGCAACCGGTTGGAATAAGCTTATTGCTCCACAGGATATGCCATGTAATTGCCAGGAACAGCAAGTTACACACATGGCATGCCTGACGTAACAGTCGTTCATTGCCGATGTATTTTCTTCTACCCTCTGTGGATCGCACCCCACTTACTAATGGCAGAAAGTACGCTGGAAGCGATTCGAAAGGAAGAAACAATGGTCGATGTGTATATCTTACTTCAAGCAAAACAGGAACGATGTAGTCGCTCGATGAGAAAGTCCATCCATGTCCGGTTTCGAGTTGATTTTAGAGAGGTTACATAGTGGCTGAGCTGTAGACCAATATCGGCCACGCTGATCATCTCAACGAGACCGCCGAAGGGATCTCCGAAATGAACCAGACCAATCGATAGCTACAAGGAACTAGCGAAGTGAAGTTTGCGATGTGCGTGATACGCTTTTGTTGGTACACCCATCACAATCACAGTCAACGAGGAGGAGTGGCAATATCGCTCACGTTTAGTGACAGTTTACGCCCTGGTCTTGCAAATATACAGTAAGCTCTGATATAGACAACGGCTTGTATGGTACCGCATTGTTGGGATCAGTTCATCCTGCTGCAGGTGCTAATTACTACTGCCGGCGTACTCTTGCTAGCACGACAGACGGCGAGTGCATCGGTCGCGAATTTGAGGACCAAAAGCCAGATAAACTGAATGTCTTCCGGTAGCGAGATTACTGTTCGTGTCGCAAGTTCACGTGGGGAGTTGTGGGATGTACGACAGGAAGTGAGCGAGAGTGCGAATATCATCAGGTTTTAGTGCTTGTAATTCGTCCCATTCGGCAAGTGCAATCGGTCATTTCTGCCCAGGTGGCCGCCGCCGATCATCCTGCGCCTCTCCGCTATATGTCAAAGCAACAATATGGATTTACATAGCTGCCTGGCGGAGTCTGATTCAATATTGTCGTTGAGATTCTGCCACCATACCGAGCTGGGTTGCACCCTGGCCCACCGCCGGTTGTCTCAGGGCTGGATGTAAGGCTGGATATGCAACATCACACAACATTGATGCACGGTAATCTCGAGTGTTCCGAGGAACATAACTGAATGGACAAACGAGTTGATTCGCTCAGATGTTCCGTAGAGGTATATCCATTGAGTCGTACACCTGACCTAATCTGATTGTGGGCCTTCCGGTTTGTGAGAGAGTACCGTCTATTAGTCGCCGGGTGGTGCGCTGCTTCCCCAGATGAGCGCGCATGACAAAAACCTAGCCATTGTCGTAACCGCCCGGCATGCGTTCGATGGCATTGACCGACCGGACTTTGTATCTGCCAAAAGGGCAGCAGCAGGTCCAGAGAAGACAGATCGATACCGTTGTTGCAAGTCGCAATGATGTCTCTAGTGCTGGTCGACACGCGTAGTTGAAAATGGCGTTGCTACAGCAATGGCTTCAGCTGACGCAGGTATACCCGTCGCCGTGAAGTGAAGATGACAGCATCCCCGTTATGTCATGCTGATGCTTCAGGTCTTGCCCATAAGCCTCTGCGCTTTAGCAAGCAGAACTGTACTCTCTCGCCCCAATTTCCTCTGTCCATTCGGCCCCCTCGCTTTGGCCATAGTTTTTCTGAAGCGCTCGCGCTCAGCGACTTTCTTCGCACGCTCCTTGTCCGCTTCCTCCCTCGCTCTTTGCCGCGCCTCAATCTCCTCCCTCTTTTTTTGTGCTACTTCGGTCTCTTTCAGAAAGGGCTGTGGGCGTGGTCGCCGCTGCCGTCTCTCGAAGTTCTGCCTGGGTTCTGGCTCGGGTGACTTCTCTTCTAGCATTGCGACGCGATCAGGATGCGGCTCCAAAGTGGGTTCTGGTACAGGCTCGGTAGACGCCTCTTTCTCACTCTCGTTCTCGTCTTCATTGTCGTGGGCAGATTCGCGATCGTAGACGGACTTGCGCGGCGTCGTCGCTTCGTTTTCTTCGCGAGCCTTGAGCTTTGCGTACTGCTTCTTCAGCTTTGCCTTGTTGATGAGGCCTTTCTTAATCTTTTCGACTACACGCAGAGTCAGTAAATGAACTGTATGATATGGCGCGAGCAGATGTGGGTAATCGCGTAGTTGCCTATTGGATCATAACACCACGATACCCTCATCCAAGTTTCCGCTGTCGCAGAAACCTCTGTAAAATCTAGTCGAGCAGACATACTTTTCCGTCTATGGGTACCATCGGGTAGGTTGGCAGGTCCGATAGCAAATCGACTTTTTTGTTTCTTGACAGAAGACTTTGCGTCTCCTTCATGCGGTCGTTTCACACCCATATTGGAGGCTGTGGGTTGTCGGAAAAGTTCAGAGTCGCGGTACTAAGATACTCGCGGAGAACGCGAGCCGATTTGATCCAGCCTTGGCAGAGTGGGGCGCGATGTAGAGCCGGTCACGAGTCCTTCGACCACCGCGACGGGCGATGGACTCATGCCTCAGCTTTGTGCGCCGTCGCATCTATGCACCCAATATTCACGCCTCCCGCGGGGACGTGCAGGAGCATCCGGGAGAGATATTCTTTTTCGTCGTGTGACACGTCGCGTCGGCCAATACCGGTTCGGTGGCACGAGCGACTTTATCAGCAGCGATTAGGAAACTTCCGTCTTGTAACAAAGCTCCCAGCGCGTCATCCGTCCCGGTCCCTGCGTTCCTCCTCTCCGCACCTCGAATTGGGGCGCTCCACGGTGTTTCGTCCTAAAACTGGGCAGTATGACTGTACAATGAAGCGGCCACTGGAGCCAACGCACCCGATTTAAACTGGAAACTCTTACTCATTTCATTCGCCGGGCCAGCAACTCCAACCGCTTGACCTCACTGTCTCCGCCTTCGTCACGACCTGCCTTTTGTGCTCCACGACTTTCACGGTCGCGAACACGCCACTATTCTCTGAGTTTCATTAGATCTCTATACTCATGCTGTTCATTGCAACCATTTGTTACAACCATGCCCATATTTCATGATCCCCATGATAGTCCGCCGACATCGTCATTCTTGCCTCAGGCATCGGTCACGGGCTTTCAGAGAGCAGACACTTCGGGATTCGCTGTAGAGAGAAGTCTGGAATCCGACATGCAATCAGAACCATCAAAAACCGACATGTCCCTGGATAGGGACCCTGAGTCCCCTAGTCAAACGCGCAAGCCATTTATGTTCGGACGGAAGGAGTGGATCGAGAGGATCAAGAGGACCAATAGCCCATCGTGGCTGCAGCGGCAGGGTGTGAGTACCCGGAGACCTAGGGAGCATCTGCAAGGAGTTTGTTAGTCGATGTAGGGAATACTGATAATGTAATATAGGGCGAAGTCATGACTGAATGCGATGCCTCCACCCGACCGACATCGCAAGACCGTCCGGACACACCTCTAGTCTCATCCACCGAGCCGCAAACCTCACGAATCTCTACCCCGGAACACCTTCGAGATCCTGCAGCCGTGGGCCTGGATATCGAACGCCCGCGATCCGCGTTACACTCCGGAGACTTCAGAGAGAAGAGAGCAGGAGCAACATCTGAGAATGACCATTCGTCTTCAGGCTTCCTAGCAACTTCGCCAGTTGTCCCTTGGAATCGCTCATTCCCAACCTCAGCCTTTGCCCCACAACACAAAGACGTCTCGTATCCGGGATCGCGCACCGATGACAATCGTACAGCTGCACGAGCACGGGCGATATCGCAGTCATCGCAGTCACCGTTCAGTTCGTTCGCCTTCCTACCACCCACAAGTCCGCTTGTCCAGCAGGCAAATAACACAGACTTGGACTTCTCCTCAACCCCAAGCTCGCGGCAGGGATCTCGAAGTCCTGACAGAGACCATCGCCGACATACATACTCTCCTGCATCCTTTGATGATTACAAGCCCACCCAGATGGCCCGTTCTGCGACCGGCACTCCAGCTGCTCGGCATCTACGACATAGTAGTTCGATACCATACCAGGCGCATCAACCTCGACGATCGATGACGTTCAATCAGTCTGAGCCTCATTCTCATTCGCAAACGCCGTTCCTCCATGCACGGCGCCCCTCCTTCTCGTCGGAGGCATCTCCATTGCAGCACGCTCCCATGGTTGGGTCTTACGAGGAGTCGATACTACGGGGGCGCATGTCTACTACACCATCACGGCCTCTCGACTTCGTCGCTAAAATTGGAGTACTTGGCAGAGGGCAATGCAAATCAAGCCTCAAATGTCCACCTCATGTCACGGTACCCTTTCCAGCAGTCTTCTACAGCTATAATACAGGCAACGGTAGGATTTCGGATAATGAGCCGAGTCCCTATGTTGGGCATATTGATCTAGAAAATTCATTGCCACCGCCAGATGAAAGCAGTGAGAGTGGTAGACGTAAGCGACGACATGTTGTACCTGCCCCTGATCAAGACGATCTCGATTTCAGGATAAACCTTGGAGAAGAGGAGAATGGTCAGGGTGCAAGAGGGGACCTTCGTCGGAAAGAGAAGAAGAAGCGACGATCGACGTCACCCAAGGCGCCTCCCGGGGGCTCTTATCGTATTCCGCCACAAGGTCAGCTCCAGATCGTGTTAAAGAATCCAAACAAGACAGCAGTCAAGCTTTTCCTAGTTCCGTATGATTTGTCGGATATGGAACCTGGCCAGAAAACTTTCATTAGACAACGTAGCTACTCTGCAGGGCCTATTATCGATATGCCCGCATCATCACGAAAGAATCTGGGCACCGACCGTCCAGAAGCTGCTCTCAGCAATTCAGATGACCCAAACGACCGTCCGATTCTGCGTTACCTAATCCACCTACACATATGTTGTCCTTCAAAAGGTCGCTACTATCTGTACAAAAGCATACGAGTCGTTTTTGCGAATCGAGTACCGGACGGTAAAGAAAAACTCCGAAACGAGATCCAGCAACCGGAGCCCAGATATAGCACGTACAAACCGACGCGAGAAGCACCGTCATTGCAAAAGGCACAGTCAACCGGAGCCCAGCTTACCACGGACCGGGCTTTCCGTCGGCGCAGCGCTGGATGGCCACTCTCGCAGTCTCAGCAAGCATACGGACAGCTGGATGGCCTGAAGCAACACACACCACTTCCTCCCCCAGCTGTCAAGTTCACCGGTGGCACCACCAATTCCTCAGCATCGAGTGGCTTCAGCTCGCCTGTACCAGAATTGCAACCCATACCTTTTAGCCTTGGTCGCCTTGCTGCGATCGATTCGCGGCCTGTTTCCCGTGACCGCATGGATGTTGATCCGAAGAGCCCATTCAGGACGCCTATAACATCACCGAGAGCTGGCGTAAGTAGTTTGAACAATCAGAGCGACGGTACCTTTGAGAAACTGAGCAAAGGCGATGTTGGCTATGGCGGGAATGCATTCTCGCCACTTGGTAGCCCCTCTGGTCCGCCCAATGCAGGTCTCCTGTCGCAGCGACTCCGCGGTTTAGATGTCCAGCGCAACGAGGAAGAGTAAGCTGCCTCACCATCTATGGGTCTATGTACCATTTCTTGTATATTTTGTCTTCCATTAGAATACCCCATGATTCGTTGTACCTTGCATCGGCGTTGTTGGATACTGCATTGGATGGCGTATTTTCCCCTATATACGTTTTTCTACACGTGAAATGAATCAATCATATACGAAGCACCTTTTTTGTGAATAGAAACTTTGCCTGAAAAGCCACCTTAAAGATGCACGCCATACTTTACGATTGAGTCATAACAAGAGATTACACAGGATCCAAATTCAAAGTTGCTTTCATCATGGGTGCAACTTGTTAGAAATGGACACCCTCGTACCATGCGCTCGGGTGCTGCAGCCGATTTATGCGTAGTGCTTGCCGAACTGAAATCTTAGCGTGATTACGATCTAACGTTCGCGAAGAGTGACGTCGGCAATAATTCCGCTTGCAACTTGAACATTGGACGTCATAACCCGAACAACATCTTCAGTAGTTCTAACATAGACATCGCCAACTCCGTTCCAATTAAACCGTCAAAAACATCGCTGCATTCTTCGCGAAAACAATGGCCTCCAAACGCGCCGCCCAGCTGTTCGGCGCCCGCTCTAATGCCTCCGTCATCGGCCAACGGACTACGCGGTTGAGCTTCACCACTGCACGCGCTTTTAGCATTGCGCCTAATTCGCCAACCGCAAATGCTTTGAAGAGCAGATCCGTAGTCGTAGAAAGCGCAGGGAGACTACAGGCTATCCAGGCGCAGAAGAGGTGGCACTCACAAGCGCCAAATGACTTGAAGCAGAACAAACTTTACCAGTTCGACGACGTACGTCTACTTATTATGGGGCCTGAATCCCCTCCAAACCTCTTGCTAATTCACAAAGGTCCTACACATCCTCGAAGCCCCATCAGACTCACGCCTTCTTATCGATGTCCGCGAACCCCATGAATTCGAGAAAGATACTATCCCAACCTCTATAAACATCCCCGTCACATCACAGCCCGATGCGCTGCTACTAGATGAAGAAGAATTCCAGGATAGGTTTGGTTTTCAAAAACCACCGAAAGGGAAGGAGGTTGTCTTCTTTTGCAAAGCCGGAGTGAGGAGCTCGGCAGCTGCAGGGATTGCAAGGCAGGCTGGGTAAGTCCACGTCTCATACCGGAATGCACACCGAAATCCAACTGTGAAAGACAGTAATTTTTTTGAATTGAAAAACAAACAAACAGAGTACGCTTACTGATTCATACGGCAGATATATAAACATCGGCGAGTACCGCGGATCCTGGCTCGACTGGCAGAAGCGCGGCGGACCGGGCACAAAGTCCCCACCAAAGCCTGATGGCATGGGTGAACCTAAGGCCCCTACAACCGAAACAAAGCCTACAGCTAGGACGGGCGACAGTGGGGAAGAGGACCTTGGGCCTCAGGGACAGCCACCATATCCACCAGGGCCCATGGGCCGGCAGTAGATCTGCGATGTGATCTAGGGCTAGACTATCAACAGATCACCTCATATCATTGCTCGGAGGTTGTAAATATGAAAATGAAGACTGCACATATGACTGGTTCAAGATCACTGCACAAGCATATTGTTATGATGACATTATGGTATTATAAAGGTAGAGTGGAGCTGGCTGCAACTATATGGCTTATCGAAAGAAAGGGAATGTCATCAAGAGAAGGTAACGAATGCGTTTACTGCGTGCCGCAATCAACACCGCTCGGTATCATCGGTCTAGCGCTTGAGCCTGGCACTGTTCAATAGTTAGCGTTTCTCAACTCGTGTAAGTAGGTCAGTCGGAAACTCACCATCTGCCAATAGACTCCCTTCTTCCTCAACAGTCCCTGATGATCGCCCCTCTCCAACACCTTTCCACTACCTAACACGAAGATAATATCCGCCTTCTGGATAGTAGCAAGTCGATGAGCGACAGCAATCACAGTTCGTCCACCATCGCCAGCGGCGCGTTCAATCGCCTCTTGAACCAGTTTCTCAGATTCAGAGTCCAGAGACGACGTTGCTTCGTCTAGCAAAATTAGTTTTGGTTTCCGTAGCAAAGCTCGAGCAAGACTAAGACGTTGTTTTTGACCACCAGATAGAGACATGCCTCTTGGTCCGAGACGCTGTGCGTATCCATCCGGCAAGGACGTGATGAAGTCGTGGATTTGAGCGTCGCGACACGCTTGCTCAATATCTTCATCCGTGGCGGTATCAACAGACAAGGCGACATTTTCTCGGATTGTGCCTTCGTAGAGTGTGGGTTCTTGACTGACGAGACTGATCTGTTTGCGGTACTCTGAGGGGTCAAGGGAAGTGATGTCTTGTCCATTGTAGAGAATCTGACCGGACGATGCGTCGTAGAAGCGCTCAAGGAGGGAGATGGTGGTTGATTTGCCGCAACCGGATGCACCTACCAGTGCGATGAACTGGCCAGGCTGGACTTGCAGGCTGAGGTTTGACAATACAGGCACCTCTCGACTTTTGTAGGTGAAGTACACGTTTCGAAACTCGATTCCCACCCCTTCTTCTGGTTTACTCAGTGGTGGGTACGATGGCGGCGAAGCGTTCTTCTGTGGACGCATACTGATGATACGGTTAGCAGCACCGGTCGCTTGCGCCATGTTTGGGGCGAAGGAAAAGAATTGACCTGCTGCGATGGCACCTTGAACAATAGCTTGGTAGATGACGAAGAAATCGACGGTGTCGTACTCGCGGGAGGCCAAGAGGGTACCGCCATACCAGAAGGTAAGAGCCATACAAGCAAGCTCAATACTGTCACTCGCCGCGAAAATCAGGGTACCATACTTTGCACTCGAGAAGGCCGACGCAACGTGGCCCTTGAGCAACGTCTCATAGCGGTGACCGATCATGTCTTCCATGATCAGACTAGATACGGTGCGGAATGCACCGACAGCTTCAGCCGCGAATTGACTGCTATTCTCAAAGACCTTTGCATTAGTCTTATCGAATTCAAGCTCTAGACGCACGCGAAGATACCCAGCAGCCAGAATTAATGGCAGTGCGGCAAAAAGACCAACCAGTGAGAGCTTCCAACCGTATACGAAAGAGATGATAACGCAGCCAACAACGTTGACAATGGCAATGCCCGCCAAGGACATTTCGGTCGCCATCAGCTGCTGGATCTGTGTCGAGTCCGAACTTAGCCTCGCTGTCAGAGATCCGGGGCTATGTCCTTGGTCGTCAAAAAACGCAATGCGTTTGCGTATGAGGTTATCAAGATACTCTTGTCGATACTGCTTCGTCACCATGACAGCGATGAGATGACAAGCCGATCCCATGAAGAAGTAGGAGAGAAAAGTACTTGCAGCTAGCACACCGAACATGCCGGCCCAGAAGTTACCCTGACTAACGAGCTCATCCACTGGAAGGGTGAAGACGTTGACAACACTTGCAAAGATGTAGGCTTGCAGTGGGTAGACAGCACCGCTAGCCAAAATACCGAGGACAGCGACGGTGTATAATATCCAATGGTGGCGTTGCTCGTAGAGAAGACGTCCAAAGCTACCGAGAAGACCTTGTTGTTTGTATTCCGGATCTGCTGCCGCTTCAGATATTTGATTGCTGTGTTTGTGCTCCTCGATGATGGTGGTATCTGTGCTTTTTACCTTCTCGAGTGCATCGACATCAGCGTCCTGTTCAGCCTCCATTGTGATTTCTTGTGCATGAACTAAGCCGTAATAGACACCCGCTTCTATCTTCAACAGCTCTTCGTGGGTGCCTTGCTCCACAAGCTGGCCTCGACGTAAGACGACGATCTTGTCCGCTCTTCTGATGGTGGAGAGGCGATGCGCGATGACGATAGTTGTTCGATTCTTCGATACGCGATCGAGAGCTTGTTGAACGATACGTTCTGTCCGTACATCTATAGCACTAGTCGCCTCGTCTAAAATAAGTATAGCCGGCTGTTTGATGATACTTCGCGCGATGGCAACCCGTTGTCGTTGACCGCCAGACAGCTTGATACCGCTCTCTCCCACCAATGTCTCATAGCCTTCTGGTAGTTTGGCGACAAACTCTTCAGCATAGGCTTCGCGACATGCGTTTTCTACCATTTTCATCTTGTCTTCTTTTGGCAGGTCTTCGTATTGGGTGCCTGTCAGACCGAATGCCACGTTGTTGTATAGAGTATCGTTGAAGAGGAAGGGCTCTTGCTGGACCAGGCCAATCTGAGAGCGCCACCATTTTAGGTCGACATCCAGTAGATTGGTATTCCCAGTCCTGATGTTACCAGTGCAAGTGTTTGGACCCAGCTCAGGCTCATCGTCTTTGCTCTTGTCATGTTCGACTGCTTCTGTGGATGCTTGTTTGTCTTCGGTCTTCGGTTCAGCTCGTTTCTTAAACCAGCTAGGCTTCTTAGAGCCACCGTCCTTAGCTTTAGGTGCGTCGTTGGGGGGCGACAAGTGGTCTTGGTCTGCATCAGATGGAACCGTGGCTGTCGTGCCTGACAGGTCGTACCATCTCTGTACCAGTCCTACAATAGTAGACTTACCTGAGAGTGGGAGCACAAAATCAGTAACGATCAGACGGACTCGAATGGTAGAGATCACTTACCACTTCCAGACGGGCCGACAATAGCGGTGACTTTACCGGCCTCAAACTCAAGATCAAGGCCCCCAAGGATCTGAACATTTGGTCGGCTTGGATACGAAAAGGCAACATTATCGAAAATAATGTTTGAGTTTGCCGATATGTCAGGCTCCTTTACTCCAGCAGTATTAGGGACGGGGGCATCGATTGTGATGAACAGTTCGGTAGCCGCAGATGATGCCTTCGCGATAGCGATGATGGGGCTGACAACCCGGCTGATATTCATGATCGCCATCATGACAGAAAATAGGACCACAACTATGACCCCAATGTCGCTACTCTTGCCCTCTGAGTACTGCTTGATGCCAAACCAAAAGGCGATAGCGAAAGTGCCGTACTGTCCAACCATCAAAGGCGACATCATGAGACCCATCAAAGGCGCAGCTCTACGCTCATTCTTAGCAGCTTTGTCTAGCAAACTTTCATGCTGCCTTGCCAGTTTCGCCTCTGCTCCGAAGGCAGCAACAATGCGAACTGACGAGAACATCTCGAAAGCCATAGCCGAAGCATCTTCATGATGCTTCTCAGTGACCTTGTGTATCCGGATAAAAGGTGGTACTAGGGCACCCGAAATGATGAGGATGAACGGCAACGAAGCAGAGGCGACTACAGTAAGCAGCGGGCCTTTAACGAAAGCTACCACATAAGCTCCGATGACGAATGCGAGAGATTGGAAAAGCATAGCGAAATGCTGCGATATGGCCAGTTGAACTGTGTTGGAGGAAGTGGTGATTCGCGTGGAAACTTTGCCGGGGCTTATAGTGTCTATCACACTGACGGGTTGTGCAAACAAGGCTCGTAGGTAAGCTAGGCGAAGTGCAGCAGAGATTCGAAGACCACTGATTCGGATAGTGAGCTGTATCAGCGTTAGTGTATTGATGGTTTATCTGAGACATATGTCTGTACCATTGCTATGTATGACAACACGAACTTCGCGATGAAGAGGTAGAGGAGAAACAGTGTAAGTCTGTTGATCTCCGCTTGAAATTCGCCAGCTGTCATAGTAGTCCCAGGAATAAAGTAGTTGGTAAAAGAACCGACCAGTTGACCTAATCGCAGTCAGTATCCCTTAAGTGTATCCCACATCTAGTGACGTCGGATCATACCGAAGACAACATTCATCAGTGGAAACGTGACTCCCGAGGCTATTGATGTGACACAGCACAGAAACATGAGCCAGAAGTCCAACTTGGATCCGTACGAGAAGACTCGCTGGCCATGTTAGCGATGAATCACGTCCAAGGCGGAGTACATACGAAGTAGTTCTTCAGACCTGCCTGTGGTACTTTCTTTGCTTTCGTGGAGCTCTCTCCATCTTTCTCTACAGCCTCAGGGGCGCCCTGCTTTTCCTCGGTCCCTGTCTCAAGGATTTGAGTAGCGAGCGCAGCATTTTCTGCTTCAGCATTGGTCGTTGGTCGAGGTGGCAATCGACTGTCTGCGATATTAGAATCCATGACTCCGCTCAAAAGGGTGAAAACAAAGTTGTAAAGAACATGAGCAGAAGAGAAGAGTATACAAGGGTAGCAGAGGTGGTTATGTAAACGAGTGAACAAAAGTAGATGCCTGATGATGCGGCTGCCGTATAGAGCGTATCCTGGTCTACAACGGCAGAAGTGGACCTACATGCTCCGATTCGGCACGTACATCGCAAAAAGACGGAGTGAAGGTGCGAGGTAAGGATCCGCAAGCAGGATAATCTCGAACCATCCTTCGCATGGGCGCCTTTGGGGGCTGAGTTCGTACGGACTTGGCGCAACGAACGACTGGCGGCGCTAACTGGCATACATCTCGCTTCACCACAGTTCTTCCCAATCGAGCGAATACCTGCGAGCTGAAAGGGGCAACGCGCGTCTGTCGTGTTTCAACGTCCAGAGCCCTAGTCAATGCGAATAAGAAAACTCGGCTAAAAAAGAACGCTCCTCGCAAGTTAAGCCGGAATGGATCAGGCATACGAGTGATGGGTGAAACTTACCTGGAAAGTCGGATGTTACTTGCTCTTCACATTGCCCTTGACGGAAGTCGGTGCCCGCAAGTCCGACGATACATGGAAAGGTTGTGTTCACTACCTACAATAGCCGACACCAACCTACACCGGTTCTGGCAATAGCCATGGCCAAGATATGTATTTAAGCGCGCCTGCAGAAATGACATACTGACAAAGTGGTCTTACATGTATACATTCCAGGCAACACCTTGGCTGTCGCACCTGCAATGACCAGCTCGTTCAAATGGTAGCAATCGCATTCATGAAGAGATTCTAGGAAACATCGAAATAGCGTTAGCGTTCGCTATAGATTGGCGACGCAGGCGCGCAGGGCCAGAGGGACGCGACACGGTTATTTTGCTCCTCCATGAATGTCGATGCCACCTCAGAGCACAATCGAGTCTTAGATTATCAATGAATGTAGTATACCTTCTTGCTAGCTTTGCAGCTCGTCCAGTCCATCTCTACCACAATACTCCGTTTCCATCTCCCTTATAGCTTCTATGTTGGAGTTTCCCCTCGCAACCTCCTTCCTCCTCTCTAACCTTACCAAACTCTCGATCAATCGTTTCATGAGCCACTCACTTTCACTGATCCCAGATACCATGGGACTATCATCTCCAATCCAATCCCAGTTGACTAGGCCTTCTTCGTTTTCTTCATCAAACGTCGTTGCACCGCTTCCAAGATCACGGTCCAGGCGCTCTGGACTGGTCAAGCGAATAAGTTGCGTGAACTCAACCCACTCCTCATACGTATAGCGTTTTTTATCGGTTTTCAGATCGAGAGAGACTTTGTGGATGGAAAGGGCGAGACGACGAGTAAGAGAGGCCCGGGTGGGGGGGTTTGTGATGTCAGTCTCGGCTTCATTGCCGAGAGCAAGAACAGTAGGGTGGCGAGTCAATTCCAAGTCGGTAGCTTCTTCGCGATGTTCGGGGTCATTCAGAATGTCTTCTCGGTTCTGGAGGTCAGAGGAGGTTGCAGAACTGTCCTCTGATCTTGGATCTGCGATGCTGAAGCCCCTGATCAGCCTCTTCTTTCTCGCTCGGTACTCTGTCCACTGCTGCAGCCATCGCAGTAGCCAGGGATGCTTGTTCAGGAAAGAACGCCAGATACCTGCTTTAGGTAGTACCGTAAAGTCAGCGAGCTCGTCGCTCCACCTCTTAAAATTGGCAACAACCGTATCCCCTAGATCCGAAACCAAAATGGTCATGGTCGGCACAGCTATCAAGCTCCAGATGACGAAGAAGCAGCGCCCAGAATTGGATCTCGGTGCCAAGTCTCCATAACCAATAGTCAACAGACTGACATAGCAGAAATAGAGTGACTGGAAGTACGTCAAGTTCAGCGTTTCCTCTTCGGTCACCCAGAAGACGACCGCGCCAACACACCAGAGAATTGAAAATGTAGTGACGGACCAGAATAATGCCATCCAACGCTTGAACTTCTGTGAATCGGCCTGGATTTTGCGCATAGCCTCAAAACGATCCTTCTCTTCTTTCAACAGCATAATCTTCGGTTTAGAGGAGGCTATACCAAAAGCATGAGCAACACGGGGAATAGTTGATGTATGCTGAACTGGTTCGCCTACAAGCGTCCTGAGAGGCCGTGGCTCAGTGGGTGCTGATATCCGTGGAAAGCCAAGTTTACGTTTCCGGATCAGGTGGTGAGCTTCGCGCTCACGATGTCGAAGATCAAACGAATTGGTAACTGTACGTTCTGCGACACGCTCGCGCATGCGATCAACATGCTTCTGGACAATTTTCTCGTCCCCAAGCTCGCGCACCGCTGTGTAAAGCGATGAGACGATGAGAGCTAGCGTTATTGTACCGCCCACAGAGTACGGAAATACAATACCCCTAGTGACGTCGGTCGTGGGTACCAGGTCGCCGAATCCAACAGTTAGAATAGTTGCGTCACAAAAGTAAAGAGCGTCGGCGAACCTCCAACTGTCTTCGCCAGCATCTTGCTCAAGCTTCGCAAAGATTGCTGCGCCGCCACCTAGCCAGATGAAGAAGGCCATAGTCTGTAATATGAGTGTCCTCTGACTGTCGCTCAATGCGAAGTTCTCTGGATAGTGACCAAGAAAGAAACCAAGCATGTTGACCATGAGAATCATGGAACAGATGGTGTAAAATGCTGCAGCCGCAATCGCATACCAAAATCCTTGCGTATACCCTTGTTCCGGTCGAATGGGTGGTTGGTAAGTGTTCATGCATATCGTTATTGCTATCAGAAACGCGGATGAAAGATACCATAGAACGACTGTAACAGGTAAAGCAATAATGTAGCGGATCCTCTGTGTGAAGTTGAGGAGAAGGAAGAGGTTTCCAAGAAACCCGCAGATGAGTGAAGCTACGTTAATCCAGTAGCACCATCTCGGGTCGCCAAAAGGTACACCTTCGAAGTCCGAGACTCGGACGCCATCGATGATGTTTTGCTGCCTCCAGGGGGTGACGAGGGCAGCTATCGAGCTTACATTTGCCAGTGGACCGAGAGTTGCAGCAAGCAAAGGGATTCCGGTGCTGGCAAACCACCAGTCACTGTCCTGCCCTTCCCATTTCTTCCACACGTTCCACCATCTTTTCCGTTTGCTGTTTTTCAAAGACTTATGCTCTTTTCTTTTCTCCTTTTCTGATCGAGACGTGTGCTGCCTCAAATCGTTTGCTTGCTCCGGTTCTTCTTGTTCATGCGCCATCATCGGTGCGATGCAACATCGGACATCGTCAATCTACTATGTTAAATGTCTTTAGTGTCTCCAAATATGGCAGAAACCGTCCAGAACCCAAAATGAACCTGGCTTTATTAATAGCACAAGGATTCGAGATTTGTGAAAAGCCGGTCAATATGTCCGGTAAGAATGTACGCCGATGACTAGATGCTTAGAAAGTGGCGCTAGGCGATGCAAGTACCTATTCAAGAAGCGTCCACGGCTGGCGGGTAGATACGGAGGAAGATGTGAAAAACGAACGAATAACGACTGCCTTACGCAGCGAAGTCATGGCCACGCATCTGACCCAAGTCTCCAGCAAGGCCACGCGATTGACTACTCGGCTATCGCGGCGTGGTGGAGACCGATCGTGGGTGCGTGGGTGCTAGTGCCGATCAGCCGTTGACGCACGCCAAGCAGTCATTGACTAGGGATACTTAAAGATCCAAAATTAAGAACTCACATGCTATCAAGGACTGTCTAGAAAGCGCAGGACGTGCTCGTCTACTTCATTTCAAAAATCACGATGAGGTATGGAAACCTGTCAGCATGATACTCGCGCCTGAACGCCCGAACAGCCCATGTTGTTCATCTTATTGATTTCTTTTCAAACTATGTACAAACATGTATGTATGGCACGCCCAGTGCTTACTGCGACTTGAGCTTCTCGGTCAACTCTGGGACCTTTTCGAAAAGATCTCCAACGAGACCGACGTCTGCGACCTGGAAGATGGGTGCCTCGGCATCCTTGTTGATAGCTGCAATAACCTTGCTGTCCTTCATGCCTGCCAGATGCTGAATAGCACCAGAGATACCAGCACACAGGTATAATTGTGGCGCAACGTTCTTTCCAGTCTGGCCTACTTGTAAACTGTTGTCTGCAAAGCCACTGTCGACCGCTGCTCTTGATGCACCGATAGCCGCACCGAGCGCATCTGCTAGTGGTGGCATGAGCTTGTCGAACTCCTCCTTGGACTTCAGACCACGACCTCCCGAGACAACTTTCTCTGCCGAGCCAAGGTCTGGACGGTCGGACTTCTGGAGGTCTTCGGATATCCACTCTGTCGAGCATTCGGCCTTGGGGTCAATGCCCTCCTCCACTGTTGCGTTTCCGCCTTCGGTCTCGGGCACGGGGAATGCGGTGCCTCGGACGGTGATAACCTTGGTGCTATCCGACGATTGAACTGTCATGATGGCGTTACCAGCGTAGATCGGGCGGACAAATGCTATGATCTGATCAGCACCTCTTGGTAAACTATACAGGATGCTCACTCACTGTCTTCACCTTCAATGCCGGTAATGTCTGATATTTGCTGTGTATCCAACAGCGCCGAGACACGTGGCATTATGTTCTTTCCAAATGCTGAGTGACCGGCAACGACGTGTGTGTATCCACCCTTCTTGATGTTTTCAACCAGGAGTGGCGCATAGTTCTCAGGAAGACACTGCAAGATGCTGTCAGCCCTAGGACACCCAATGCCGCTTTGGACAACCGACCCTGTCATATGCTCCATTCTCAACGTAGATGACCTTCTCTACACCCTTTGACTTGGCTGCCTCATCTGCGGCCGACTTGACCCCACTTCCAGCGACGAAGGCTGTTATTGAGCCTCCGAGTTTTGTTCCTGCCGTGATGGCGGCCAATGACTGTGATACAATCTTTCCCTCCTTTTGCTCGAGAATGGCGAATGTTGACGCGAACCGTGCGAAGGCCGAGTATTGGGGTACGACGGTGGGCTGCGACTGCCGAAGCTGTGTTCGCGCTGTGCGGAGGGCGGACTGACGTGCGGCGGCGAACATGGTGGGCGAGAATAGTGCAACGCCACTAGAATCGAACAAGACGCAGAGTTGGAAAAAAGGTGAGGTAGAACGCCTCGTCCAAGAGTGGTGAAAGTAGCCCAAACGGCGCGGAGAACTATGACCTCGGTTTGACCAGGTTAGTTATCCGGCACTAGCCCTTGCATGCGGAGCTGCAGACTGGTCACGTGAAAAGGCTGCTTGCTCCTTAGTGCTCTTTTTGCTTAGGCGTTCGAGAGCATCGCGAACTTCAGACGCGACATCCACCCACCCATCGCAGCCGCCCATCCCCGCCTTCATTCAACAACGACCACGCTGCGACACGTTGATCACGACACGTTGCGGTCGCGCACTCTTTCTCATCACCGGCGTCCCGCGATTTCCCCTTTGCAGTGCCGCATAGCGCCTTCCAGCTCCCGTCGCATCGCAACTGTTGCATAGCACTGCCTAAGCCATGGCCGACGACGCGACAGCAGGCGCAACTGCGCGGGACCCAAGTCTTACTGGAGAGGGTGCTACAGACGTCAATGCGCTCGATCAAGGTAAGTCAAATCCCCATTCCAAGCACCACGATGCCAATCCCCAGTCGCGTCAACAACATGGACGGCTGGCTCAACGGCGATTATCTCGCTGCCATTCCCGATGTCCCTGCATTGGAAGACTCGATGCGAACACCCGACACCCCGGATTCCGGAGATATCAGCCCACTAACTTCCATAGATACCAACATGCTCGAAGACGCACCCGCCAAGGAGTCTTCCAACGAACCCGCAACTGCTACGCCAGCACAAGTATCAGACAACCCCTTAGACGCACCTGATGGCCCACGACCGGAAGCCGAAGACGCCGATGGCCAGGACGACGAGGAGATGGGTGGTGTTGAAGATGCTAAAAAGGAGAATGGCGAGGGCGCTGAACCTGCGGATCCAGAAGCACAAGCAAAGGCCGACCTACAGTCGGCGGCACGCTCACACTTCGTCACCCAGACATATGCGACCATCATTCCCAGCTACGCAACCTGGTTCGACATGCGCTACATTGACTACCGTGAGCGCAAAGCCTTACCCGAGTTCTTCAACGGCCGCAACCGCAGCAAGACGCCTGCCGTATACCGCGATTATCGTGATTTTATGATCAACACATACCGCCTAAACCCGTCCGAATACCTCACAGTAACTGCGTGCCGAAGGAATCTGGCAGGTGACGTTTGTGCTATCATGCGCGTACATGCTTTCCTCGAGCAGTGGGGATTGATCAACTACCAAGTAAACCTTGCCGCTCTAGCATCACTCTGAAGCCACGGTTAACATTCTCTCTAGGTCGACCCTCAAGAACGCCCATCAAACATTGGCCCACCTTTCACCGGCCATTTCCGTGTCACCGTTGACACACCTCGCGGACTGCAACCTTTCCAACCTGGTCCAGGCTCCAAAGTTACAGACGGAAAGCAGCTCACAGCCACCGACCGCGCCGCGAGTGCGCAGCCCACCGCCAAAAGCGAGACCAAGTCTCTGGCTGGACGAAACATCTACGAGGCCAATGGCAAAGAGGCTTCCGCAGAGCCAAAGACCGCTAACGGTGAAGGTGCTGCGAATGGCCCCGTCGACGTCAAGGACCTTGAAGCTGCTGCCAAAGAGCCAATGAAGGTCATCAACTGCTTCAGCTGTGGTGTCGAATGTACCCGTGTACACTTCCACGAGACGAAACCTTCTGAGCAACCTGGACAAATGAAGGCCGCAGGTGGTCTGAAGCGCGATCTCTGCCCCAGGTGTTTCGTTGAAGGCAACTTCCCATCTGGTACGTCTTCGGCAGACTTCACAAAGATCTCCAACCCGGACAACTCGGCAGCGGCCGAGACAGAAGAGAAGTGGACGGAAGAGGAGACTCTTCTGCTACTTGAGGGCCTAGAGGAATTCGATGATGACTGGAACCGTGTTGCCGACCACGTCCAGACGAAAACCCGCGAGCAGTGCGTGATGAAGTTTCTGCAGCTCGAAATTGAGGACAAGTACATTGAGGCGGATCTACCAGAGTCACAGTCTGCAGCCCCTTCAACCAAGTTCCTGCGCGATTTGGATTACCTCAGCGAAGGCCGTGTACCCATCCACCATGCCGACAACCCAATTCTCAGCGTTGTCAGTTTCTTGGCTGGTCTTGCACCTGCAAACGTCACAGAGGCGGCTGTAGCGTCAGAGCGTAGCGTTGGCGAAATGAAGCGCATCCTGCAAGAGAAGATTAATAAAGCCCCAACTGCACCATCGGAGAAGGGCAAGGAGAAGGAAGGCGAGCAGTCTACACCCGCAGCAACTGCTTCAGACATGAAGCCAGAAGGTGGCGATGCCATGGATGTAGACCCTTCCGCCGATTCGACCGCTGTAGCCACCAGGGAATCAGACTCGTCAAACGCCAACCCCCTGGCGACCCTCCCCTTCGCTCTTTCTGCCGCCCGTTCCTCAGCACTAGCATCGCACGAAGAACGCCACATCACTCGCCTCGTCTCAGGTGCAGTCAACCTTCAACTCCAAAAGCTCCAGCTCAAACTCGCACACTTCAACGACTTTGAGAAACTACTTTCCGCCGAGCGTCGTGACCTGCAACGCCGTCGCCAGCAACTCTTCATGGACCGTCTCAACTTCCAGAGGAGAGTCCGCGCATTGGAAGATGCTACCAAGCGTATCAGCAGCTCCATGGGCGGCCAGGGTCTGCCTGGTAGCATGAGCAATGAAGAAGCTGTTCAAGCCCTGACTGAAGCTATGAAGATGTTCGGCGTTGGCAAGGGCGAGGATAGTATGGGTGTCAAGCGCGATAGCGTGGATGCTGATGTTGCTCAACCTATTGCTGAGGGTGCCGAGGGCTACAGCAAGGTGGAGATTTAGAAGCATCTCAGCGCGGACGATGTGTATGAGACGAGTGTCTATGATTCAAAGTCTGGGTGTGCATATGAGATGCTTCCGTACTATCGACAAGGAAGAAAGGACGAAGATGTCGTTGATAAGGGGGAAGACGATTGGGGCAAGTCAGAGGCATACAAGCGTCAGGACAGTATGACGCCTCAACTTGGGATTGACGCTTGTTGGGTTCGTTGGAAGGTGTTTTCTGGCGTATAAACGAGTGAGTGCCTGCAAAGAGTCATGCTAGATGGCCTGATATGTTGAACCTTCCTGTTTTTCTTTTGGCAGACTCCGAGTCCTGCTGTATAGTAGTTTCTATTATCAAAGACGATGCAAATTATTCTCCAAGCCCACAGAACCCATGGTATGAAAGTGCTTGAGTGTATGATGAGAACTATATATACTATACATGAGTTTTCCTAGTCGTCAGTAGCAGGTAACGTAAGCCTCTTCCTCTCCAAACATGCTGTACAGGTAGTATAATACAATGCCATCGCTTTCATATCACGTCTCCATCCACACATACCCTACAAGTACCCTACTTCCTCTCTAACTTTTCTGTTCCCTTCGCATTCTCGTCATGCCTAGCCTTGGGTACCATGCTCTCACTCTCACTGACAGGTTCTTGGCTCTTGACCTGGTTCTTTGCCTTGTTCGCCTTCTCGGTATCGCTGTCACCCTTTGGCTTTTGCTTGCTCTTCTCCTTCTCCTTTTCGCTATCTAGGCTGCTCATGTCTCCCCTTGCGTCATAGATTGGGTTGTGCTTGGCATTTGGCTTATATTCCTCAGGGACTAGGCTGTTCTCGTGTGGGGTGTGAGGCTTCGAGCTACGCTCACTAGAAAACTCGCCCTTGGCTGAGGCGGCATGATCGTCGGCGGCAGGTTGTGATCTGGAGTCGGACTGCGCGTTGGAAGAGAAGGTGTCTGATGGCGGGGCAGAAGTAGGCGAAGAGCGGGGTTGTTGTGTTTCCGTGGAGGTTGTCATGTCATCTTCCTCGTCGGCATCAGAGTCTAGCTCTGAACCGTAAACTTCAGGGTATTCGCGGAAGCAGTTTTGCATGTCCCTATGACGCGTAAGTCATTCATCCCATAGTAAGTCTCGCAAGCTGTCGAGGCTCCACTGTCATGATGTGGACTTACTTGAACTTGTCGATGCAGTCCATGCCCTTGGGCTCTTCGGTAGAGTACACAAAGCAGCTGAAGGCTGCCTTGAATTGCTCACCACAAGGCCCATGAGCCATACCGCCCAAACATGGGCAATCCCAATTGATCTCGCCTGTCTCTGGGTTGAATGCGCCTTGTTGATCTGCCTCCTCTTCGAGCCCCTCTATGCCGCCCTGGCCATCCTCTGAAGGCTTAGCATTCTGTTGTGCATTCGCAACCTCCTTCTGCTTTTGAGCGTCTAATTGTGCCTGTACCGCTTGTCTCCGCTTGCGCTCTTCGGAGATAGATTCGATGGTTGGGAGGTGTTCGGATTCGACTTCGGTCTCTGGGAGGGCTTGAGCAAGTTCTGAAGGCAGGATTAGTTTCTTTCGTCCGGCTACACCGTCCACCGAGGTCCAAACATACGTCTTGGCTCTTCCGCGAAAACATCTGTGGTATTGTAATAGTATATTATTGCTCCCGCAATACCGACTCTCGCAACCAGACTCTTGAAACTTCTCGACTTTTGTGATGGTGGAGCGGTGCTGAGGTACCGTCTGGCCGGCGCGGCTGACCGTAGTGGCGCGATCCGCAGCGCTGGACGCGCAATTAACCGTGGGGCTGCACGAAACATGATGCCAAAGGACGTGAAACAGAAAGAAGATGTTAGGAGAGAGTCGTGGCGGATGTCAACGGTCCATGCAAGTGTCGTCACTACGTAAAAGTTATGGGACCTGCATTTCTAAGCGGAAGGAGCAGGGATCTGCGTGGCTGGAGATCCCGGATCACGTGGAAGAACTTTGAAGAATTCTGGTCATCTCGAATACGTTTGCCATGATGCCTGGAATCTGCTCGTGTATTGCATTCTGCCGACATACTGAGGAACATGTGCTTTCAAGGTAGTGTAATCAATATGATGTTCGAACGGGTATATTGAACGTTGACCTCATATATACAAAAGTGGACTGATGGAAGCGTCTCGCCTCAAGACCGAAACCGGGTAGAGACCCTCTTGCTTGCTGTATGGTACCGCGAGAAAGCAAAAGTAACATAGCCAAATTGGTACAGTCCAGATGATCAAGATCTCAGTACGAATTTGTTGTATGAAAACGCTATTGAAGTGAAGTGCGAATCTGAAAAAGACGATTGAATGGTGTCTATTTCGGGGGGTTGCGCTTGAAGAAGTACCTGTTAAAACGATTAGCACGCAAATCCGTATAGCGGTTCTCTTGAGAGTAACATACTGGCTGACATAGTAGTCGCCAACACCAAACAGTCCAATGACAGCAGCCCATGCTGCGACGACCTTGCCGGTCAACTCGCCGCGAACATACTGCCTGTATGCGCCGAATCCAACAATGCCACCAACGACGGCCAGACCGACCGCATTGCTCAGCACAACCGGGTTATCGGCGTTTTTCTTCACCTTCTCCTTCGCGGCATCCTTCTTTGCAGCAGCCCGTTCTTTGACGTTCTTGACTTCTTCCTTGATTTCCTCTTCGCGTTCGATGCGCTCAGCCTGAGTGTCGGTCTTGATTTCTTGCGACTCGTAGTCGGAGGGAACGGAAGAGATGTGAGGGCTGTCTACGTCGACAAGGGAGTGGACGCTATCATCAGAGGCGTGCTCGACCTGGGGTTGAGCTGGGGCGCGACTGTGAGTACATGTTAGAACGACTTTACAGCTCAATTCCTTGAAGCTCATTGCTCGTGTTTTGAAGACCGTGGGGTACCACGGCATGCTGCGAACTATCCTAAGCAGTCGCCGTCGCAGAAAAACGACTTCAAGAAGATGAAAAGTATGACTTACGCCTGTCTTTGAGTTAGCATTGACCCAGGTTATGCAGTGCTCTTGACAGACTTACCTCCTCGGGGCTCTGCTTGGGGCCCTTGGCAGCCATCTCTGCGTAAGACATGATGTATGGAGGGGATAGTGGTTCTGTAAGGGGCAAGGGTTGTGTCGTGAAAAGGCCGAGTGCGTGGTTTGCAGATCAGTCGAGGAGTACCGGGAAACTATGGGAAGTTGATGAGCGATCGTGTGAGACCGGAAACAGGCTCCCTCACATGCTTGTTCGCTTAGTGGGCGGTAACCGACGACGTCATCCTGAGCGCGTTAGCGGCGACGTAGCGAAACCGCCAAGCACAGGAACAGCACATCCTTGTGGAGCATGTGAATGATCACAAAGTCTAGGTCCCGGCCCGCATGCGTGCAGAAACTATCATCTCAACTATTCATTATATACTGCAGCCTACGCTCAATTGACCAAGCAGAAAAGGCCCAAGGGTATAATAACAATTTCCATCATTTCCCTCAATATACACCTCACGGCCCTTGATACAGACAGGATCCAAAACTGTGCAGGTTCGTATGGTACACGAAGACAAGGACAAAGCAACTCTTGGAGATCGGGCCCGTAACGCCCGCTGTAGATACACATGCTGAAAATGGAAACGCTATAACAGAAGGATAAGACGTCTTCAACTACCATGGCAGTGTCTTATGAGCAAATTGCTCATCTCATTCATCGCCAAACACTGTCTTGTAGTTTTCCAGTAGAGCTTGTACGGCGACGCGCTGCTGTTGCACATCGGTGAGTTCGCGCTGGATGTCCATGGGCCGCATGATGGTTGGCGCGAAGACGACGGCGACATTGAGTGGTGTCATCTGTCAAGTGTTAGTCATCACGCATTTGGAACGCACACTGTGTATACATACCAAGTTGTCGCTGGCGTGTTGTATGACGCGCGACAAGTGGAACACAAGGAACTGTAGTGTATCACGGTGAGCCTTGGGAATCTCGTTCACAGCGGCAGACAAAGCTTTGGCTTGAGCATTCGGCTCCTCAAGTTCTGTAGATTCATTAGCGCTTGCTTTATCTTTCAAGGGCGTGTACTTACGGCCCGCTTCCAGGAACTGATCGTAAACGTCATACGTGATCAACGGCACAGGAAGCCTGCGGAAGTAGTTCTTCAGCGCAGAAGTGACTGAATGAATGTCCAAATCAGGGTCTGAGATATCGTGCTCGGTGTCCGTCTCGAAACCGCTACGGACTTGGTTCACCTGAGAAGTTCCTCCACTCTTACGATATATGCCTTCCACATCCATACCGCGGAGCTCGACCTCTTCGATGCATCGACTGACAATGCGTGGAATCATCTGCCGTTCAAATTCACAACGTGCAGTCAGATCAGATCCGAAAAGCACGGTACTGGCGTCGGCAGCAGCCAGGTTAGCAGTACTGGTGTTGTTATTCTGCATGGGCCTGAAGCCAGCTTGGGGTGGTCCGCCTGGTCGAACGTTTCCGGGCTTTCCACCGAACCAGCCGCGCGGAGTTCCTTGGTCCATAGTATCTCGACTCTTGATGGAACTAGACATGGACATGGATGCGATGTCAGGCCCGGAGTGCACGGATCCATACGGTGTACCAATGACCTTGACGTTGTAGTCCTCCTGCTTCTGCTCTGAACCGAACGCGCCCTTGAAGCCCTTGGTGACGTTCTTTGTAATGGCCTGCCCACCCTTCTTCCATGTTGAAAACTTGGTAGGCTTTCCAGTCTTCCTGATGTTGACAACCTGCGGCTGAGCGACTGTCGCCTCAGTATCGTCATGGAGATTGGCATAAGAGTGCTCATGGGGTATTGGCTGTGTATCTACTGATACTTCTGACTTGCCGCCCTTTTGCTGAGCGTTGTATATGCCTAGGCCATTCGCAGCCACGTCAAGGTTCTGCCCAGGCTTCTTGTTGTTCTTGAGATTTGTCTGTATGTTGTCCACCAGATCCCTATTCATTGCAGAGAGTCTGGTATTAGCAGCCGTAAGCGATTCGTACTCCTGGAAACCTTTGTCTTTCATCTGTATGAGATTCGAGATCTCTTCTGTCAAATCCGACCTTTTCGTAATGAGGTCTTCTATTTGATTCCCCAGATTATCTTTCAGTTTCTGCAGCGAGCCTGCAAACTCTTTAAGAATGTCTGACTTGAGTTGGTTGATCTCAATGTTGCCCTGATTGCTCTTGGCTTTCTTGAGATGTTCAGTCATGATCTCTAATTCGCGAATCACCATCTCGCGTTGCGTATCCAAGACTGCCATTGTGTTTCGCTTCTCTCTCAGAACCGTGTTCGCTTGTTTGATGTCGGCTGCGCTGTGCATCGATTCTTGTAGCCCATTCTTTTCAGCTTCGAGCTCTGCGATCCGCTGCTGAGCGCGGCGCAGCTCGTTTCGCAGATTGACGCCTTCTTCTTTGGTATCCGGCGAGGCAACTGTGGGGCTGCTAATGTCGATCGAGCCGTTCGTTGGCCATTTCTTGTGACCTCGCGATGTGACAGAGCCACGATCACTGAAACTGCGTCCATGCTTAGAGACAGCGTTCGAAACTCTCCTGAAGACTCCGGTCTCTTTATCATCTCTGCCATCTTGGCTTCCAAGTAAGCGCGCGAAGTCCTCGTCCATGGAGAAATCGCCCTGGTGGCTATACCGGGGAAGGCCACCAGCACCGTATGCTTCTCGAGATGCTTCGCTTTGGGCACTACTGATGGATTCATTTGTCTTGTGGTGTTGTACGGTGGGCGGTTGTGGGGGTGCGCGTGGAGACGTGAATGTGTCAGTCGAAGGTTGTGCAGGACGCCCACCTGAACGCGCGGGAAGCGCAGGCGGATCTGATGGAGTTTTAGAGGATGGCGAATCCGCAGGACTGAGTATACCAAGCCCCGCGTTGAGATTCGCACTTGCTGTGTTTGTGGATGATGTTCGCTCGGGATGGTTGAGGGTAGGCGTGGTGGGTGACGGGCTAGGTCTTTCGTTTCGCGAAATGGGAGCTGATGGCTTCAGAGCCGAGGATTTGAGCGAATCGCCACGCGCAGGTCGTTCTACTACAAGGTTGGATCCGAACGACGATTCCGAGGTTTGCGGTGAGTCCTGCGAGCCAAGTGGTGGGGAAGATGTGAATGTAGGTTCAATCAGCGGGCGGCTCAGCCGCGCAGACATGGTGTCGTTCTTGGAGGAAGTAGGCAACTGCATTCGTTCCTGGGGCTGTGGTGACGGTGTTTCGTCAGAGTCCTTGCGTTTGGCCTCGGCCTTCTTATTCTTTGGAACATCCTGTAGCTTGAAGGGCTCCGCAGCTGAAGGAGCGGGAGAAGCGTGCTGACTCCTCGACCGGGGCTCAGCTGAAGGCGATTCGTTAGAGCTGTCCTTCTTCTTCCTGAGCGTCTCGACCAGTGTGTCTGAAGGCTGTCTTCCTTTTTCCTGGAAAGCGATGTGCGGGCTCTGGGTGGTTTGTGTTTGGCGTCTCTCTTTGGAGGCTTCTCGGGAGCTGTTTTCCTTCAATTTCTCGCGATGATCGCCGGTAGGCCTGCTGAAGTAGTCGCGGCCGTTCTTAGTGGCGCCATTTCCACTGGACTTAGCTCCTAATGCTTGGTCGTTGAAGCGGCTAATGGGTCGGCCAAGTGGTGACGGGCCTGGCGCAGGGTTGGGGTCCAGAGCAAAAGGTAAAAGGATACCGTCGTCGCCATTGTCTACAAGTTCTGAACGCGTATTGCTGTCTTTGTTGTATGTTGTTGCGGGGAGCGTTGTGTTATCTGTGAGTGAAAGTGTCAGCTAGGCATAGAAATTGGCGTAAGCCAGATGATGTCTACGTACCC